AGGGTTTATGAAGAAGTTAATGAATTAGAGTTCATTTCATCAAAAGAAACAAATATTTTTGTTTTTGCTTACAGACCAACTTACACAGTAATGAAACACATTCAAAACACAATTCAAGTTTCTGGATTTTTATTGACCGAAAACGGGCCAATAGAGGAAAAGAACACACTTAAAGCATGCCAAACATTGGTGCATGGTCAAAACACACTTTATCCGCGTTTTTTTTCCCGCTACTCAGCCAATGGCTGTAGGGTGTTTAGAGTACGGATGAAGTGTGTTGTATATATATTTGGTCATTAATTTATTTTGAACTGCAAGAACGCAATAGAACTATTTTTTTGTTATTTCAACAACGTGAGAATTTTTATTTTATATATACAAACAGTATCCACGTTCTGTATTTAATGTATGTGAAAGACACGTGTCTGATCGAAGATATGTATGTTCTTATGTAAAATAAGACACACAAAAATAACAGTGTCCGTTACATAAGAGACATTTCTTATTTTCTTATTATACGCTGATTTTATACTTTGTGTGAGAGTGGGAAATATAAACCTGTTTCTCACAAAGTTGAAATCTTTTTCTTTAGCTACTCTGGCTATCTAAAGACTTCTACTGCGTATAGGCTTGCTAAACATATTGACTGTGCAAGGTCTCAAAATAAAAATGCACTAAAGTGAGAAATGCACCCAATGGTTGAAGTCACAACTGTCAGTATCCCTGGTGTGAGATCGCTTTGCCGTCAGCGACTTTCAGGATGTAGCGACGATCAGTTCGATCCTGTTCGATGCATAGAGGATTGGGGCTTAGCCATTTCGCCTCGTTCACAGGATGCTAGATTGGCTCTAGCAACGAACTGATATTAGCGTCTAGTATTTACGGATACGCATTCTCTGAAGGTCCAAGCGTAAATGTTTCCTTCACATACGGTAAACGTTACCTTATTGGTAATAGTCACACGTGAATCATAAAACTTCGATCGCTCTCACTTTTATTTTGAGATCAAATATCACTCACATGTCTGACAAAAACTGAGAAATACACGCGGATGCCGGGAGGAAAAGCAAATCCGAGGCTGAAATTTTCTTATAAATAATCGTGAAAAAAATCAGTAAAACTAATTCATGTAACAAACAAAAGTTGGAAGAACTTAACTGATGAGTGAGAATAAAATTCCTGTGTACTAATTTTGGCCTAAACATCTAAGTGAGCTTGAGGAGACTAATTTTATAGTGATTGCATCATGTTCTTGAAGAGAAAGCCGAGTAAAACATGATGAAATCAGCGTCCCAGGTGCCAGGAGAAAAAATCTAGAGGAACATTTTTTGATCTTGAAACTTTCATCGATACTCTCTTGTCATTTTTGAGCCATGACAGTCACTACTATAATCAGATTTTCTTAGATAGATTTTTTTATGGCGAACTTAATTACGGAATTGCGACTTTTTTCTTCTCCTTTCTAAGTGATTGCAAATAAAAAAAGTATCAGTTTTTATGTTGATATGTGTGGAATTAACTATGTGAAATAAAAAGGGTTAAAATAAGTAGAGACTTCGAAAACTTTGTCCAGGGGAATTTTTGTCTAGTTCCATCCAATTCGCAACTCTGCTATAGATCTAATTCTTTCGCCATTTGAACACACATTCTTTCAGCTTTACAAGTATATAACATAGGCTGAGGTTTCTATATATTTTGTCTCCAGGATAGAGACCTGCACGGGTTAAGAAAACCTAACCCGAACCCGACCCGACTGCCAAAATGTCGACCCGTACCCGACCCGGTCCGACAACAACTTAACCCGAACCCGACCCGACCCGATGGAAACAATCTCACCAGAAAACTGTGTTTGAAAAAGAATATAGACTTGTCTTGTTAGACAAAAGTTTTTCGGTGCATATTATAGAATCTCGTAGTTCAAAAAAAATTTTTGAACGACTTCTGATTGGTCATTTTGTCTAAAAGGTTAATCTATTGAAAATTCCTCAGTGCACTTTGTCAATAGATTATCTTAACCGAGATGATAACCACATTCTTTTTCTCATTGGTCAGTCAGTATCACCTAATACTAAGATAGCAAGTAGAGAGCATTATAGTAAAGTCTTCTATGTACGGGTGTTTAAAACAGTACATTGAAAAAAAGCAGTAAGGGATGTATTGCCATTAATTTCAGTGCAGGAAGCACTCTCTTATGTGCAAAGAAAGCAATCATTAATCGACTTAGTGAATGCAGTTGTTCTGAAACAAGTCTTTCAACTGGAAATTCCAGTAGTGATAACTTTCAACCAGTAATACAAAGCTAAAAGTATTATTTATATTTTAAATTGCGTGGCCAAATATTCAACCCGAACCCGACTCGACCCGACCCGACAGCATCTTAACCCGAACCCGACCCGAGCCTAGGATCGGGTCGGCTTCGGATCGGGTTCGGGTCGGGTTGCAGGTCTGTACTCCAGGAGAGCGAAACGAAAAACTCATGCTTTTCTTCTGAGGCCATTTTGCAACCGTTGCTCTGAATCCCTATAAGTATTACAAGAACGCGTTCATACCAATATTTGTAGCACTGGAGTTACTCTTTCATCTGATATTAAAACATCCACACGCAACATTTTATTTCAGAGAAAAACGATCTCAAAGTTGTTAGAGAAAGTGTCACATCGAGGTTAGGAAACCTGTTCCACACGTTCTTTGTCCAGGCTTCTAGGTGATTTTATTTATCTCTTAATGAGCTACCCTTCCATCGTTTACAGCCTTTGAGCATAAAAAGAGAGAAGTTTTGTCTAGCGCCTCCAGTCTTGTCACTGACTAGTGATTTACACGTGAGCAGAGAACAACTACCAAAAACTCTTTTATTACAGTGACAAAGAAACTCTTTTTGGCTAGCTGACTACGCTGTAGAAATTTTCGTATACTATAGCGCTCTCTGCACTACTTTCATATACTCCTAAATTACTTGAAAAGGAACGCTATATATTTTATTCAAAGTAAGCCTCATAATTCGAAAACTCGTTTATTCAAACATTTTTCTCGAGATGTTTTAGCAGAAGCTCAAGTTTAATCAAAAGTTGAAAATGCAGTAATTTATGGATAGCATTTCCTATGGATGACTTAGTTTGATCCTTTTTTGAGAGCGTTAATCCAAGATTTCCGTCATCCATTTTAAACTCTTGTTTTCGTCGAAAATAATCATTAACAGAGAGAAAAGTTATGACGAGAAAAGGGTTTGTATAGTCGGATTTTAGTGTAATCAGTACGCCGTTACTACTTCTATTAAGGAGAGTTGGAATGATTGAAACGACGGCAGCGAAAACGTGAATAAATGTCGCACGTAGTCGGCAAAAATGTGATTTGTTATACTTGTTTCTACTTGAATAAAAAACCCAAAACTGACAGGTCACTTCGTCATTCATTGTTCTAAATTTTTAAGGGAAAAGGTTAATAATATAAAAGCTCTTTAGCACATGTAAGCTGAAGAAAACCATCAAAACATGTGCCAACCATTTGGTTTTAACAGGAAACTTATGAGTAAACTAACTAAAACTTATACCATCCTGTAGAGAATTTTCTGCTGTCTTCCATATGAATTGTTAGTCATTTGGATTTAATCTAAATGAGAAATTACGAAAGACATGGCCATTTTTTTCATTTTTCTTCTTTGGGGTAATGATGATAACACAGCTGCTTTCGATGGAGTAATTATGATAATTTCGTGTAAATTACACGGATAGATAGAAAAAAATCTTTGGCGTCTCTCAGAAGCCAATTTCGATGTTATACTAAATGACAAAGTAGTTCAGAATCGTATAATCAACCACATATATGGAAATTAAGGAAAAAAAGAGCATTCTCAACGAGTAATGAGCATATAATAGAGCTAGAGTATTCTAAATGTATTTTTCTGCATGAAAATCAGTAGAATGATTAAGCCACCGCCTAAATAAGCAATTAGATCATCGATAATTGAAACTTTTCATGTCCACTATAAAATCCTCTTCTTACTGATAGAAAAAAATCTAAAAACACGCATGGAATCGTATGGAACACTATCGAGCCTTATCCACTAAGGGATATGTCTTTAAATAATCAATTATTAGTTGCTGTTCCTCAGTATTTAAAATGCCATTACCAATCCACTAATCTTATACCTTGTAGATCATGTACTAGATATATTTGTTCTAATTGTAAAGGAATCGACACTTCGCAACCTTAGGCATGTATATTTTGTCCGGTTAAAATGACTATCATGTTTTTATACGATTTTGAATGAACTATTCTTGAAATTACATTTACTATTTCAACTTCTTTAACTTTTCTCGGTGTTTGAAATACTCTAGCTCTATTATATGCTTATTACTGGTTGAGAATACTCTTTTTTTTCCTTAATTTCCATATATGTCGTTGATGAAAGGATTCTGAACAACTTTGTCATTTAGTATAGCATCGAAATTGGCTTCTGAGAGACGGGGAAGATTTTTTCTATCTATCCGTCAAGATTCTCATAATTACTCCATGGAAAACAGCTGTGTTATCATAATTACTCCAAATGGGGGAATTATGATAATTCTAAACGTATTCATTGGAAATTAATTAGAACTAATTAACGCTAACGAATTTTAGAAAATTTTTTACATCAGTAGATGGCTAAGTCAGCTCTATCTACCTGCATAATACTGATTTCCTCCGGTGAAAGATAACTTAAATATGCAAAAAATATTTGAAAAGTTCTAAGCGATTATCAGAATTACCCTATGTGACTCTATTTTTTTTCTGAAAACAGCACTCGTTTTGATGGACTTCTACAGCGAAAAATAAATTTATACGTTATTGTTTATTGTTATATGTAACGACATGTGTGCATCAATTGCTTACCGATCACTATTCAGTATTTGATATTTTGATTTTTCGTTATAATAAGCGACAAACAAATTGCGATTCAGTGAAAAACAATATATAACCAAAGCGTTTAGTTTAAAAAATATTACAGCTAATAGCACCACTCGTTATTTCGTAGACTTCTGCTGTAGTTCAACTAATTGTAAAATTAAATCTTCGACCGTTTTCTTTAGTGGAATATATGTAGTACCCAGATTTTTCTGTGCTGTCGAACTATCAATCGTATAGTGAATAGGTAATTGTTGACCTTTTGTGCCGACCGGTGCGCTGTCCTTGATGCTTTGGGGAATAATCTTGCTTTCATGAACAATGTCGACTATCTCCTGGTTACTCCAACTACCGGCTGCAATCAAATACCGTTCGTTCGTGTTTGTCGCAGCTTCCAGTGCTGCCACATGTGTATAGGCCACATCTCTCACATCGACCCAGAACGGTGTGCGTACATCGGGAATTTTAGCATCTTTACCACTGGTGACTAACGACCATAGCGCAGCATTTGACGTATTTATCTCGTCTAATGACTGGAATCTGCCAAAATGTGGTCCATAGACCATCGGTTCACATATTGTTGCAATCGTAAACGACGGTTTCTCTTTTTCAACAAAATCCCATGCAGCACGTTCAGCACAGACTTTCGATGCACGGTATGCTACAGCTGGATCGTTTTTGGCAGCAGCTCCCTGTTCATAGGTGACAGGAGACCAATCTTTCTCAGTATAGGTATAGATGGGTTGATTGCTCCTGTTGGTGTCCACAATCGAAGCAAACGACGATGTAATTACTATTCGTTTGATCTTATTTAGGTTGCTCCGATTATATTTGTGAGCAGATTTTAACACACCCAGAGTGCCGTTGATTGCTGGTAGAAGCAGATCTTTCTCGGGGTCTATAACTTTAAAGTGAAATGGTGAAGCAATGTGAATGATGCCGTCGACACCATGTACAGCTTCGTCAAACGAGTCAGTAGCAATATCAGCGATATGAGCAAATGAAACTTGGCCGCGTTGCTCTTTTGGAATGGCTTCGAGTACTTGTGCTTCTTTGGCTGCAGACCGAACCGTGCCACGGACGTTGTAGCCTTTGTCTAGAAGAAGTTTGATAACCCACCCACCGATGAATGCACTAGCGCCGGTAACGAGAATGGTTTCGGGCATTATAGTAGTGTCAGGAATCTGAAAGCAGCTAAATAACGCTTCAAAAAAAGCTCACAAATAAATACACGCCGTAATTTTGCATACGGTGCATGATATTGCACTTTTTCTGCACTGAAAGAAAATACACAGATAAAATGCTGTTTTATTGGTTCACATAATTCGACAAATTACATCATTACTTAAATGTGTCGCTATCAAACGCGCTCACGCTGCCTGTCTTCTGTTTGATGCTTGCAGGAAGCTGTTTCTTTCGACTAGCGCACACAAGTAATATGCTC